CATGTTAAAATTAAAAATACTTTTCCTGATCTCAAAAATCTCAAATTTTCTTTGTGTAATCCCTAAAATCTCCTACATGCATTTCAAGTTTTTTTTTCAGTAAAACTTTATACTTTATGTGTTATTTTCTCTACCCTATCTCAAAACAGGATCAGTCAATTCGACTGACATCATAACCACCAATAAAAATCGAAATAAACCTAAATTAACCTTTTCTTTCTAGAATGATTTCAACTTGTAATATGAAACTACATTCGTTTATCCTAAGTAGCTCTAAGTTTGTAACATTATATATCTATTTATAATTAAATTTTATTGTTCTATTGCCCTTTGAACAACCATGTCTAACTACTATCCTCACAATTATAAATTGCAAATCACTCAATGAACATGCAGCTCATGTTATGCTATTGAATTACATTACTCATGAGCTGTTCGTGAGCATACCTTGTGAACCATTTTAATTATATTATTATTATTACTTATCTTACCTAATCTAGTTTTAAATAACTTCAAAATATCCATATTTTTAGATTTTAGTTATTTTTACAATAAAAGAATAAATATGAAAAACAAGAAATAAAGTACTTACCTAATCTTTTTTTTCTTGCTATTGGGTTTTGAAGAGAGCTAACCTTAATTTTTTATACTATAGATAGTATTGCAGTTAACAATTTTTATTTAATTACATAATGCACCAATGAATATAGACTAATAGCATGCAAAAAGTAGACAAATTCCTTTACCTCTCAAAATTTTCCTGGCTTTCTAAATATGCAACAAGAGCTGTTACAAATTCATCCAACCTAGTCATTAACTTCCCACAGGAACAAATCTTGTACTGTGAGTGAAATTGACAATATTCTGTTCAAAATACAATGTTATACAATACGTCATTTGATAGATGAAAACCTATGTAAGAGAGAGAGCTATCAACGAATTGTGAAAGAGAGGATGTGACAGGTGGGTGTGGCAGGAGGGGTCTGATTTCTATTTGATAGTACTGTAACCAAACAAAATTGAAGACTATAACAATTATGGTTTGTCTGAGCAATAAAGATTTTATAGGGAGTAATTTATGTTTAGTTTCGTACATTTTCGAGGGGTGATGGATAAAACAGGAATGATGACATGCTAAGACAAAATGTGTCACGTGGGTCACACTAGTGGAAATTCAGGATATTTTTTAATATTACTTTGTAAAATTAAGAACTTGAAACTTGTATACTATTATAATAAGGATTATTAGCTAAGATTTTATCTATTCTAATTGGTATACCATAAACAAAAAGTAGTATAACAAAATTTTGAATGTAAGACATTAAAACTTTGT